TTTTTTTAAGGTTGCCCTGCCAATTCCAGTTTTCTTTCTAAGAACTGTAACTGATAGCTTACACAGACATTTTTGTAACTTTTATTTAACGAAAAATTAAAATTCCATAAAAATAAAACATTATATTAAAGTTTTACACTTTTTTCTCACCGTTACTAGCCGACTGTAGCACTATGGGGTGATCCTTCATGTCCTCTGCTCAGCTGTGTGTGTGTGTGCGTGCGTGAATGAAAGGAGTTTCACTTTTTTTTAAATAATGTATTGATATTCAGCCTGACTGCTGCCCCCCAAAAATGTTCTGTCCATTATCGCACCACATTCAGTGTTATATACTTGACACGCATAACAACCATGTGAAACAAGAGAAAGTTCATGTGCTCTGATAGTTGATGGTGTAAAATTTAACAGCTTCTTACTAAAATGCTTAAATACAGTTAATGCAGTTTTATTTGTTTCAGGTTTCTTTTGCTGCCCACTGGGCAACAGACAGGAGTCAGCGGTTTGACACAGTGCACTAAAGTATAGTGCTCTTCTTTCTTTTTATTGAATGAAATTGTTTTGAATTCATTCTGAGTTGAATTGCGACGCAGATCTGAATCTAATCAAATCATGAATTTGCAAATTATTCCCATCCTTAAATTTAGGCTGATCAAACTAACAGCTGTTAAACGGGACCCGGAGTATTTGGATAAAGTGACTTGTGATAAGTGTGTTTGATTTTTTTGGAGTATCAGCTGTTACTTCAATGTGTCTGACACATATTTAGGTAAATATAAGAATTATACGAGACTTTAAATTAGCAGATGCCATGCTACCTGCTTTTCCCACTATCTTTTTTACTACCATGAGACTAGCAGCCCCTGAGCACTACGTTATAAAGCATCGGTCATTACTGTCAGCATCCATTGCTATTATTAATACTTTTGCTCTTTCTCTATATTCCTCCTGGTGTATTTGTGTTCATGTTAGTGCCATGCCTCTTTGAGCTGGTCGGCGTTGCCCCAGGACGCAGAGCGCTGGTGGGTGCTCCTCTTCACTCCCGTTTCGTCACTCCAACATTCAGGAGTCTGAAAAGAACATCACCGCTGCACATTACTGTCAGCATACCTGCTATTCTAAACTAATGTGTTCTTACAACTGCTATCAATTATGTTTGTGCTCACAGAAGTCTGTCAAAGCCTCCGAGTGTTCCAGTGATGGATTATTATTGTGACAAACTCACAGAGCCAGCATGGAGAGACCAATCTTCTTGCCTATAATTTCTGTGCAGACTTACTACCAAGCTTAAGCATCCTACAGTTAACCCAAACTGCCAGTGTCTGATGGACTGCAAGCAAAGCTGAAAGGGTCATTTCTCTGGAGGTTTTAAATGATTACTCATTGACTTTTTACTCACAGGGGTTTTATTGCATGCAAAGTAATGAGCTTAGGTGTTAACATCTTGAGTAATGTTTCACTTTCACTCAATTATAACGACAAAACAAGAGCATCACAGTGAAACAGAATGTGGCACAATAATCATTTTAGCCTGATTATTTTGTTTTCATAATCCTTCCAAACCAAAATTGTAATTGAAAATAATATTGGATTTATCGCCCAGCCCTACATTGTGATGCAGCAATCTGTTATTGTCTTATTTGTTTTGGTGAGGGGGCTGCCCTTGAGTCGACACTACATGCAGACTGACGACTGAAGCAATCAGAAGTAAGAGGGAAAGGCCTTCCTGTATATACAAACATTTGTCAAACAGCAGCAGCACACATACAGGTTCTCAAAATCATTCCCTTGTGTCACTTCAAGAGTTAAACACAAACTGTAAACTAAGAGCAAAGAGGGCAGCTTGGTTTTGAAGCTCCGAAGATGCATAGGTGGCAAATGTCACGCAACCTGGAAGGAACAGGATGTCTAGAGCAGAGTGTGAGGGGACATCTGAGGCACAACGGGATCACAGGGCAGGAAGATGTGGGCACAAATGAAAGTCAGATATGATACAGGACATTACTACTATGACCTCAGAAATAAAATTATACCAGTATTTTACAGTCTGAGCTACAATTGCATACCTTTATCCTCAATAAAACACTAAATCCTGTATAACTCCAGTGCTGGTAGACGTGTGACAGAGGTGATTCACACAGTCATACTCACGCGCAGGCTGAAGATGACAAGGATAGATAGGAAAGGGTGTATGCAAATGAAACAGTGACTCCTCATTACTACCAAAAAGCAACCCACCCAAAATGTAGTAAACATCTATTAATTATTCATCACATATATGACCAGGGCTGAAAGAAACAGAGAATGTGGGCTTCCTGCAAAAATGCTCACAACCCACAATGCAGCTTAAGCACCGACAATTTGGTCAGAGTGTTATGCTTAAGGAACCTAAACTCAAGCACAAAGAGGGCTGGTGTACACAGGTCTGGTCAACTCACTAAAATCTGTTCTCACTGTAAACCCTGCCGGTTCTTCTAGGCTTGGTAGAGGATACAGAATGCTCCACACAGTGCAACTTCCTTCAACCTAATGTGGGTATTTGCCCCACCCAGCCTGACAGGTGAATAAAATCATACTGTAAGCTTGACTCAAAGCCATGTGCCTGAAATTTAGAAGTAGTCTTTAATTCAAATTTGTCCTATGAAAACAAGTAAAGGGGTCACTCAAACTTATTTTTATCTGTTGAGGAACACCTCTACAAATCAAACCTTTTCCGTCTACTCCTCACCTGGAGGAGGTTATTCATGCCTTTATATCATCCCATCTGAACAGTAATCCTTGATATTGTGCATTAGATTTAAAAAGCACTAAAATAATCTACAATTAGTGCAAAATACCGCTGCTCGTCTTTTAGTCGGAACAGCGAGAAGAGAGCACATTATCCCAGTCTCAGTGTCCCTGCACTGGCTTCACATTGCTTCAAGAATGCACACACAAAGCCTTAACTGGATCAGCTCCAAGCTCCATCTCTGACTTGATCACATTCGGAACAGCAGAAAAAGCACTTCTTGCAGTTCAAAAGTCTAATCTTGCAACCCAAGGTGACCGTTTGCTGTGCTGGCACCTAAATTGTGGACTGCTTTATCTGTTTTTATTTTCACTGTATAATCTTACTACTGTCTTTCATGTTTTTCGTTGAAGCACTTTTAAGTGTGTTGAGAAGAGAGCTATACAAAAGTTATCACTGATGTGGTGTAAGAGATGTCTTCCTTTTTTTATGGTGTCATGATCAGGTCAAAACTTTGGTTTGCTCAACACTTGTTGAAACCAATGGAATTCCCCTCACTGCAGCTGTACTCAGGGTTCAGTGGTAATTATGGCACAGTAACGCACTAAACGAAGATGGTCAGCCCAGTATTAAACGTTAGCAGCTGAACATCAGCATGTGTACGTGCACCCTATTAGTGTGTCTGAACACTCCTCATGTTGATTTAAGAATCGGTGTCAGTACTATGTAATTTCCAAACCACTATGAGAACACATCTTAAGCAAAAGACCACATAATGTACCAACATCCCATATAGCTTTAATTTACAATTGACTTTTCTCTGTCACCGAGGTGTCAACACATGACTTTATCTCAGTAAGGGACTGGACACAATGAAGGGGAAAGGCAGTGTATGGATATGTGCTTACCTGTGTGGATTTATCTTTCATAAAGGACGGGTACTGCACATGGGGTCACTGCCCACTGAGATAGGGCCCAGTGAAAGTGTCCAGGGATGAAGTCCGCAGGATAGACCCCAAACTCTGCAGATGCTGTGACTCTGTCCTTTCAACTGCACAAATGAAAGCACGAGAGTTACAGCAATGTCATTTATATGTAATGGGAACACTTGTAGCATCAGAAGTATCAACTAAATCTGCAGCCAACAGTCTTTTTCAGCAAAATAGCTCTGATAAATCCACTGTAAACTACCTGCACAGCATCAAAAGACAGCACATACATTCAGCTACAAGCTAAGGCATTTCTCCACCGGCATCGGCACTCAGCTGTGGTGGTGGTGATTTGCCCTAAACCTGATAAAAAATATCTGACTAAGACACCAACAGTGTGTAGACCTCGAGAACTGGGGCAAGTCTTGTGCATTCACCAGCACTGCATCTTTTTGTGCAGTGTGTCTGTTTCCAGGCCCGAAGTAGTAATGTTTACACCCTGCTTGGCTTGTCTAGGTCCATCTTAATGGGCCCATACCTCTGTCAATACCAGTAAGGGTATAAGTGGTATTTAGATGTTTCCATAATAAAGTATTGTTTTACCACTTATATGACCTTAATGAAAAATCTCTGTAAATTGTAAACACTAAGGCTAAACACTAAATTAACTCACACAAATTGATTTAAATTGCATACAGTAGCATCTGCTCCTGTCACTGTTCAACAATTAGCCAGACAAATTCCAATGTACACTCACTGGCCACTTTATTAGGTACACCTGTACAACTGTCTGCACTTCAGTGCAACACTTCCTCCTTAACACCTGTTTATGAAGCTCAACATGTTTCAGTTTTTGGTGAAATTGTCACAAATGTATAAATTCAATTATATGTTTATTACTGAGGTCATAGTTAAAGGTGGTGTTGTACTGGACTACATTATACTCAGTCCATGCTAGCAGCTTTGTGAGTTTATTATAGCTGAACCCTAACTTGCTTGCAATGAGATTTAAGTGCTGATGTTTAGAAAGTATAACTTCACCTTGTTAACCATCTCAGTTTAGTTTTGTTTAGCATGCTAACATTATAAAATTAACACAAGGTAAAGCTGAGACTGATGAGAATTCATTAGTTTTGCAGGTACTGGTCAGAAATCAAATTATTGAAAAGAATAAAGTTTTAACTGGATGCTTGTGCCACAGGTAAAAGACAGAGGAACATGAAGTTACTGAGGGTCATGAATGTCTGTACAAAATTTAATTTTAATTATTTCATTTCACTGAATAGTGGTTGAGATATTTTAGGCTGTATCCAAGTGGTAGACTCAATACCAGCATCCCAGGAGCCACGCTACATGGTAGCGATGTGAAATAGGTTGGGTCACAATAAATATCTATATATGAATGGGTGGCTTTCTTTACAGGTTGTGGCATTCCAGTCTCAAAATGGCATTCAGCTTCCATTTCAATTGCATATGCAAGTGAAAAAGGAGGTGTGAATGATGTAAAAATGTGTTTTGGGCACACTGACACGAGTGACTCCGAGTTCTGATGTCCTGGTTGGCAAAAAAGCTGATTCATTAAGCTCTGACAAGCCTTTGAGTCAAAATAAATATGAATGCAGTGACAGGCACAGACAGCACATTCCTCCATAAAAAGCTGTTCTTTCTAGTTGGGATAATATGTTCTAAGGGCTTGCACTACAGCTCCCATCATGCTTTGGGTAATAAAATTTGATAGTACGCTGGTGGCACAGCGACAAGGTATACTGTCTGAAAGCTCCAGTACTATATTTGACTTAATAATGTGGAAGAGCTGGAAACCAAACAAATGTGGAAGGCACACACTAGCCAAAATGTGTCAAACAGAAATTTAATGGATAGAGTGTTTTATTGTCAAGTATGTTAACCCTTGCACAATCTCCTCTGCAGTCATACACTGTCTGGAGTTGTCTGATGACATGGGAAATCTTCACCATTTACCCCTTAGCTCATATTCCTTTGCATTTTGGAAAGCTGCATTAGCTGCTAGCAGTTCTAGTTCATGCTGTAGCCATGATTGTACAAACTGGGTTAATTCAATTTAATTATTGTTGATACTAAAGAAAATGTCTTAAATGTGATGACTATGAGGAAAAATCTTGAAGCTGAAATGTGCAACATTTGAAAATCTACCTGGTGCTAGTATGAGACTAGAATCAGTCGCCTCCACTCCACTCAGATGTAGCTGAACTTTAGCAGTTCTGCAAAGAACAGTGGGCAAATACTGCAAAGTCTAGATGTGCAAAGTTAGTAGAGACATATCCCAACAGACTAAAGGCTGTAATTAAAGCAAAAGGTGGTTCAACAAAATACTGACACGAGGGGGTGATCCCTTTTCCAACTCAGTGATTCTGTTTTTGGATTTCTTTTTTAATTTTTTTCTGACATGTTGGTGTTATATCTTTCACTTGGATGTTATAAGTTGCACTGAGTAAATACAGCTTGACAAAACAAAACCATGTCTGTCTTCATTTCAAGCTGCAAAGCAACAAAATGTGATTATTTTTTTCTATGCACACTGTATATGTATGTATCCATCCATCTATCTATCTCTCAGACAGTGATGACACTAGCTGGTTTTCATCTGCTTCGAACACCATCTCTGTTCAGCAAAGCTCATCAAATGAAAGCTTGACATGTTTGTTTCTGTTTATTCCTTGTTGGCAGGGGTGCCATGCTCAGAGATGTCCTAACTTGAAGCATGCGCCACCTTGATCATCCTGATTAGCTAAATTCCTTGGACACACCACTGCTACCAACTAAGTCATCTAAGAAAGATAAAAAAAACCAAGTGCATAAAAGCCTCTAATCCAGGAAACAACACATTAAGGCTCTTCATAAAATGTAGTGACCATGACACAAGCTGTATGTTGGCTACATTGCAACACCATAGATACAGTATGTCAGTGTACTGCCATCATTGTATTGTTCTATGCAAACATGCATTTTCATTTGTTAATGTTTGCCAAACAGTCATTTAAAATGTATGCATGTAGTTGCAGAGGCTGGCTTGCTCACCCAGAGGGCTCTGTTTATGTCTCAGACTTCTAGGCCTCAATGTTGCCATAGGAGCCACAGACCTACTGACGACCTCATTTCTTTTCAGTTTCAAAGATGGTAAACAACCATAATGTAACGGATGAATAGTAAGCTTTCAGTATTCAGAGCTGCCTGGAAAATCGGACAATCATCTGCAACATAAGGATTAGTGAGCCCCGTTTATCGTCGACAGAGTAGCTGCATCATTACCACACAGACATCCATATCCTCACGTAATTACCTCATCATAGCATCACAACAAGCCAAGATATTGCGATTACTACATTAGCTCATATAATTTAAATCGCCATTGCAAGCCTCGAATAAGACAACATGCACACCAGCTGAAAATGCGGTGCGCTAAAACCTTACTGATATTATCATTATTATATAGTGCAACACTGATTGCGAGACATATTATGGAAATGCAGCGGCTATATGTACCTTCTCGATGGTTTTAGCGTCAAGCATCAGATCCTCTGTGCAGTATGACCCAATTAGAAAGCTAGTCAACTAGCCTAGCATCTTATTATGGGCAGTTATAGCTGTTGAGACAGCTGCTAAACTGAAATTAGCTTTGGAAAACTTCACAATTAAAGGTAGTCTGGGTTGTTGGGGAAGTTATACACGGTTTAAGTATTTCTTATTGTTTTTGTCTAAATAACGACAGTCCGCATTACAATTCGGTGTGAATCAAGTTTTAAAAACTGCTGTCATTAGAATGAAAATGTAATATTTTGGTCTTGCTGGACTGCTTTTTTCACTAGCTTCTTTCACCAAAACACAACGTGGCGGCTTACCACCACTGGTGCGATAAACGTTTAACATTAAGACTTTATTCATGTCGAAGGTTGGTTGGTGGACTGTGGTTAAGACGAATAGAAGAGTAATATGTAATTGTTCGGGAAAAAGCTCGGTTACCACTTTTAAATGCACGTATCGTGTTCATTTATTTCCGAAACCTTTTATTTGCTATTTTTTTAAGCTAGTTTGGCGCGACTGTCGCGGCATATTACACAGAAACAGCACGTAGCATAGCACCAAGCAAGCTATGTGAACGATGATGCATGCATTACGGACAAACTTCATATACTTTAAAGGATGACCATACCTTTTGAAATAGGCGAGTGCGGAGAGCGTTCTGGGGAGCTTCTACTGTCAGGCGACGATGCAAGTCTGTGGACCAGCCTGCCGTCCGTGCTGACAGGACCGGAGGAACGGGACGACGTCTGTCCTGTTTTGCTCCCGGTTACAGAGGAGGAGGCGGAGGAGGAAGCAGAGCGGGTTGGGCTGTGCTGATTTCCACGCAAAAGCTGGTACGGCACCGTGGCGCGGATAGGCTGCAACCGGACCGTGGTGGTTCTGCTATGAGAAGAGCAGGCGGCTGTAGGGGAGCCCCTTCAGCCCCCCGCTGGGTTGAACCGGCTGGCGATGCTGACATGATCTGACACGTTCAGTAATAAAGCTGTTTATGGAAATAAACAGTAATAAAGACCTTTGTGCAACACTGTGAGTGTAGCAACACGAAACCTGATTCCACGGTTTTATTTTAACAACCTTTACCAGCTAGGTTACCACAGTCTCTGAAGTTCATTCTTGACACTCAATCCAAAACAGTGTTCACGATACGTACATTTTTGCGACAAGTATGGTAACATGTACTGTTAATTAACCCCCTGTCTAAACATCGTTATTATCGTGTCACTGGACAAACCGTCTTTCTCACGACTCCTGACTCGTACGTCACCTTCCCGGTTATCAGCTGAAATGCCTGAAGAGGCAAACTGGGAAATTTTATGGAAATATGGAAGCCGGTTGGCCAAGTCTAGAAGGTTCTTTGAAGAAAATCTTAGAAAGATATCAGCATTAACCAGGAAAGACCCACATAAATTATTAGCTAATGAAAAAAGCACACTAAATGAGTTTAAAAGAAAACTAGATGACCTCTATACATAAGAGCTGAAGGCGCATTTCGCTCCAGAACTCCGTGGCTGGAAGCTGGTGAGCAAAATTCGGCATATGACACTCTATCGAGCAATTCTTGAGTAACAATAATTTTATTAAAGATTCAAAAGAAATTGCTACACATTGTTATACATTCTATAAGCAACTATATAGCTGGAGATTTAATGAAGATGCATGCAACACTTTCTCTGTCTCTTTTCAATAGTATAAGTTATTAAGCTTATAGAACAAAGAGTACTGTGACAGTGTGGGAGAGTATTGACACTCGCACTTTATATTCTTACTGTTGATTCCATGTGGGTGCTTTGCTGTAACATTTAGATTCCATTGGCCTTTGACTCACATTTTCATGTGCACCATGTAAAAGTAAACAATTTTATTTGTATAGCACCAAATCACAACAAACATTGTCTCAGGGCACTTAACTAAGTAAGGGCTAGATCTTATTATTATTATTATTATAATAGAGGGAAAACCCTGCAAATCCCCCCTGAGCAAGCTCTTGGCAACAGAGGAGGAGCTTGTCATTATGAATGTGAATTTTAAAATAACTTAGTTATTTGTATTTTGAATTTACATGTTTAATAACATTTTGGTGAATAACTGTTAATGTGTATGTCTATTAATTTAAAGGTATATTTTGACTATATCTCATTGGGCACTAATTCAGTACCTTTCCAGGGGGCACATTGTACTGTGACACAAAGGTACATTTATGTCACTAGGGGTGCAAATATGTTATTCTAGAGGTACAGACAAGAAGGTACAAGAATGTACCAATTTCAAAGGTACAGTTTTTGTACCCTGCCAGGGATCAGATGGAACAACAAAACATTTGCATCCTTTTTGGTCCAATCCTGCACCTTGATTTCTTAGTGTGTGGTCACAAGTAAATAACACTGTTCAAATCTATTTTTAAAGCAAGTTGCCATCTACTTTCACAGCCAAGAGAATATATTACTGTCATACTTTTAATTCAGGAATAAGACGATTCAAGACGAAGA